ACTTACTAAATTTATGCTTTATTTTTTCACGTTTTTCTTCTGTAACAGCCTCTGGGGAATATGATCTCCATGATCTTTTCATCCTTGTGTTCTCTATGCCAGGCATGCCTAATTACCTAATGTTAGTGAGGTCATTAGGGCTCACAAGACAATACTCCAAAATGAAGACCTCTGGAGCAAAAGTTCTTCTCTGAACTTCTGCCCTACTCCAGCCCTCCTGTCTCTCAGTCCCGTATTCCCTGAGGCTAGCCATAGAAATGAGGATCGCTATTCCTCAAGGCAAGACACAGAAACCAGAACCTCTATCCTCTAAAGCCAGGCACAAAAGCCTAAAAGTGTTCTGCAAATTTTCCTTCCACCTTTTTGTGTAAAAACTGGCCATAAATTATCTGACCTACCTTGTTTGCCTGTAGGCCGTAAGAGCTCCATTCCAGAGAGGGTCCTGCCCCATATCCAGAAGGAGGAAATGGTGCTTAGAAGGCCAAGAAGAATCCAGACAGACAGGCCTTGCTGGGTGTCCCCACTCACTCTGTTAGCATTAGATTATACCCTTTTCATCCAATCATATTTCTACATAGCTGTTCATACTTCATTGAACCTAAACATAAAAATGGACAATTTTTCCTGTATCTTTGGGTCTTCATTCACTCCCATGTATACACATTAAATAAATTTGTATGCCTTTTCTCCTATTAATTTTTTTCTTCTATTAATCTGCCTCATGTCAGTGGTCAGTGATTTTCAGTGAACTTTCAGAGGGCCAAGACCCTTGGCCACTCCAGGTAATGAAATGTCCACAAGACAAATAGATAATTAGTAGGAGCTTCACTTTTGCATAATTTAGAATTCACTGTTTAGCACCTCTACACGCATGCCATTATTGTACCTGATCTTTGTGATCCTCATAACCTGTATTAGGCAACTGCTCATTTATCTTGAGAAAACACCTAGGGCACAGCACCACTACTTTGTAGGCTGCTTTAATATGTATGTGCTTTATGCGAGGTTTTATGAACTTATTTTCTGACACACATGCTTTTCTCTAGTTTCCTCAACTGAAAACAGCGATTCACTGTTACTGTATATATGCTAGGCTCGATGCTGGGGTTAACAATTCCTGCATCATAGGGTCAGGCAGGAGAAGAATGCTGTAATCTGTAAAGCCTTTCTGATCCTGGGAGTGAGTCCAGCTTTAATACAATGCATAATTGCTACTTCTGAATTTCCCTTTGCAAACAACAGTTTCTACAACTATTTACCAGCTCTATGTAAATACATTTTACATCGCCACCAGCGATACGTACATACAAAACAGTGAAATCAAAATTTCTCCAAACAATTCCTTTACTACGTGATGTACTGTGAAACTTTTCTACTGTACTCTAGTCTCAATTTTATTAAAAACGGAAGGTGGTGATCCTGATCTAGGAAACCAAGTTCACAATGCGCTAGAGATTATTACCCGCGGTTCGGGAAACACTGGCTTGGAAAAAGCTCTTTGATCTGTGCCATTCTCCCTACATCTCCCTCCACCTATGAGGAGTTCCCAGCTGTTTGGTTTCGTCCTAATAATCACTGTGCTGAGTGTTTTCCCTAAATGCTCTGTGAGCGGGCCGCCTGCCTCCTTCCTGCGCTCCTTTAAGAGGGTGGTAATGGTCCATCACCGGGGGAGTGGAGAGGCAGGGCCCACTAGGTCCTCGGTGCAGGCCGGGCCCGCTCATCCAGCTCTTGTGAAAGCCGGGTGTGCGCGCAAAGGGTGGGAGGGTAGGGGTGAGGCAGGGGCAGAACCGAGACCTCGAAGGGCTGAAGAGCCACAGCGCCTGCGCGCCGCGTTTCCGGAGCCCCAGAGGGGATCTGCGCGTGCGCAGAGCGCGTTCCGGGACTATTCCGCCCTCAGAGGCTCCCGCGCGCGCTCCCGCCGAGCCAAAGTACAAGGTGGGCTCCAGCGGGAGGGCGGCGCGGCGGCGCGCGTCAGGGGGCGGTCCTGCGCTGCCGGCTCCGCCCTCTGCTCGCCTCCCAGTCTTCCCCGCGCTTCCTGCACTAAGGTAGCCGCTGTCGAGTACCGCCCGCCGGCTCGCTAGCACCGGCCGTGCCATGGCGGCCTTCAGCAAGTACTTGACGGCGCGAAACTCCTCGCTGGCGGGTGCTGCGTTCCTGTTGCTCTGCTTGCTCCATAAGCGGCGCCGCGCCCTCGGCCTGCACGGGTAAGAAGGCCCGTAGCCGCGCCGCCTTCCCGGGCCCGAGCGGGCGCTCCCCGCGTGCTCTCCCTCCCCGCCTGGCTGACGGGTCCCTTCGCCCGGCGGGGTCAGGCAGAGAGAGGGCCGACCGCCACTGCCGCGGGGCTCCAATGTCAGGGTGTTGGCGAGTCCCCGGTGCCGGTCTGGTCCTGCGATCTCGCTCCACCCCGGCATTGCGAATCCTCCTGCGCCCGCTGGCCAACCGGCGCCCAGCCAGCAGCCTCCAGTCGAGGGTGGGAGGGGGAAGCGGTGTGTTCCCCACACCACCCCCTTCTGTGTCAACTTTCTGGGTGTGTTCCGGTTTTGCCATCTCATCTCCAGAAAGACCGTGAAGGATTTGTTTTGGGGATGTGGATGTGTGATTGAGGATGGGGATTGGATTCACCAGGCTGGACGCTAGTGTCTAAGTCACTTGGACGAGGTTTGGCATGATTCCCGAGTAACTGCTGTTGAAAGTCGCAAGGGTGGCGCCTGTGAACTATCACCGGTCCACTTGGCAGGATTGCCTTCTAAAGTGGTGACCCCTTGGAGTCGGTGAACCCTTTGGTCGGTGAACGCCCTGGCATTTCATCTGGAAAGGCTGAATCGGTTCTGTCGGACTAAGAAGGCAATGTTTCCTTCCTGGGCTCTGTAGGTGAAAGGTGAGAGTGTGTTTTAGGTGAGGATCAAGCTCCTTTTAAATGACACTCCACTGCTTCCACTTCGAGAGAATTTCAGTGCTTAGATTTCACTTTGGGAGGTTATCAGATAAGAGAAAGGAAGACAGAGAGCCCTCTGAATTACGGTTGTGACATACAGGTATAAATAACAATTTTTATTTGCTGGACAAGTGAATGAGAAAAGGCTGCTTCCCAACCATTCTTGCCAGTCATTGAATATTTCATGTTAAATCTTGACATACTATTTTCATGAATTTTATTTCAGTCATTCCTCTGCGCAGGCACTGTTGCCTACTGTGTTTGATTTGCCTAAAATATCTAATTAATAAAATTTGGACTAAAACACTGACAAGTAGACCTCTAGCTCATAGTACCCTTTCCATGAAGTTCTTTCTAGCCGCCTTCTGTTTTTATCTTACTTGAGTCTGAAGTGGTGGTCTTTCTTTTCCTTCCCAAATCCGTTTAACAGAGTTGAAAATGATTTGCACATAGCCTGGGCAATAGAGTGCTTACTCATTTTTCTTCTATTCAGTTTGCTTTTAAAAGGATTAATTTGGGAAAATACTAAGCAAGTTTTTCTATTGGTTTGTATGCTTTCTGAGCTCTGAGTTGCAAATAGAAGTTACCTGTTAACTGGGAACATGACAGTAGGAAGAAAATGTTAGGTCCTTTAACTTGAATTCTGTTTTTGCAAAGAAGTGTTTCAGGGCATAGAACAGATGTTTTAATATAGAGGAGGGAACTCGAGGACAACCCTACCATTCTGGATTACTTTTATGATTCTTTTTTTTTAAAAACTTCTTTACTGAAGTATCACATATTTATATGTATATGTGATATTATATTACATACATGTCACCTACATATAGTACACATAAGTGTAGAGCTTGAAGAATTTTTACAAATAGAACACACCTGTGTAATCAGCACCCAGGTCAAGAAACAACATTATCAGCACCGCAGAAACTGTCCTCATGCCCCCATCCAGTCACATTCCACACTCCTTACCAAACCGAATTATAAGACCATAGATTATTGGCAAGGGAAATTTTAAACATAATCTAGTGGGAAATTTAGTAGCAGTAGCAGTAAAATAGTGTAATAGAATTTGTCTTATTAGCTATTTGCCCTTGTAAAATGCTTTAAAAATTACTCTTTTTCTTGAGAAACATTGTGAACTTTTGTGGGGATTGAATTATTTAGCAGGAAATGTACTGAACAAAAGATTGTTGTTAGCCTTTTGCATTGGGCTAAGTGGGGAAAATCTCTATTTTACACATTATTTTGTGGGAGGAGATTGCAGATACTGAGCAGATAAGCGTGAAGTTTAAATTGTTGAGATGAAATGATTGAATTATTTTGAAACCATTAAAAATGGTATTGATGTTTTTTTAAAGATATTATATGTCCAGAAGTCTTATGAATATCTTTCAGTCACCACCTTTGGTATCACAGTTTGAACATTAGAAGATTCTAATTTTTATATTATACTGGCCTTTTGAATATCTTTGGTAACAACTAATTTTAATAATTGGTGCTTAATTAAGGAATCTGTGGGTACTTGGCCTTCTTTTGTCTATGTTGTTAACAGTGGTTTGGTTTTAGAATTGGGTAGATAATAGAGCTAGTAAAATCACTTTAAAAGTTACAGTGTAACATTACTCCAAACATTAGGAGAATGAGTAATTAAATGTTCTGGGTTATTTTAAATTTTTGTTAATGAATTTTTTTTCACTCATTTAAATCTCATATATATGTGTGTGTGTTTCTGATCTTTTATTGTGAAAAATTTCACACATATAAAAAGTACATGGGATAATATAAGGATTGCCCACCAAGAACTTTGTTTACCCAAGAGGTACCAACAACAGTCTATATTCTTGTTTCGTCTGTATCAACCTGCTCCTCCCTCCTTATTTTTATAGGTTTTTTTAGGTGAAATTTATATACATTGAAATGTACAAACCTTAGTTACACATTTTTTAAACAAATGGGTACACTGTATAAAACATCCGTATGACAAATTAGAACATTTCCATCTCCCCAGAAAGGTCCCTTGTATTCAGTCCTGATCACCTTGTATTTACTCCTGATCCCACCACTGCTGTGCTAACTTTTTCACCTTAGTTTGCCTAATCTTACATTTTATTTTGTTATTTATGGGGAAAAGCAGAATCTTTTTACTCATGGATAAAGAGGGCCATTTTAAAGAAGTGTCTATTTCAGAATGTGGTGTTACTGTGCTAGGAGCTATAAGATTTGTGTGTGTGTGTGTGTGTGTGTGTGTGTGTTTATGTATTACATACATTAAAAAATGTATGACTTCTTTTCTTGGGGAGCTTACCTTCTTGTTAGGGAAAAGAAACTTAAACACTGATAGCAGAATGAAATGTATAGACAGACATGTCTTAGAAGTTCTGAGAAAGACAAGGTTAATGTCTTTGGGAAGGGTTAGGGCAGGCTTCATGAAGGATGCATGTTAAGCCTAGAAAGGGGGTAGGAGTGGATAACTGGAATAAAATGACTGTTAATAGCAATCCTTTATCAGATTTTTGTTGCAGTTATGATAGGAAGAAACTTTATGGTGCCCTTTCAGTCCACCTTCTCTGCCACCAGAGCTCTTTTTAAGAAACTCAGATATGATCATAATATTCCTTCATTAAAATCATTCTGCTACTCTAAAATATAAACTTCATGTATATCATGGTGTGGTCCTTGCCTACTTTTCCCACTCATCCAGCCATATGGAATTAACTTACAGTCTCTCAGTATGACAGGCTCTGCCTAGCCTTTGCAGTCTGATTGTAATCACTGTCATCCTTCACTACCTCTCCCCATGCTTTGATATTTATTGATTTACTTATTTACGACAGGGTCTGTCTCTTTTTGCTCTGGCTGGAGTGCAGTGGCGTGATACGGCTCACTGTAACCTCTGCCTGCTGGACCGAAGCAATCCTCCCACCTCAGCTTACAAAGTATAATAGCTGGGACCACAGGTGCCCACCACCACACCTGGCTAATTTTTTTTTGTATTTTTTGTAGAAGCGGGTTTTCATTACATTGCCCAGGCTGATCTGAAACTCCTGAGCTCAAGCTGTCCGCCCACCTCAGCCTTCCAAAGTGCTGGGATTACAGGCATGAGCCACCATGCTCAGCTGTTATTTCTTTTTCTTCGAGACTCAGTCAACACCCTGTCTTAGGTGTTTTTTGTCTTTTTCTGATCTCCAAAGTAAGTGTCATCTGCTTTTATGATACTGTAGGCTAGGGGTCCCCAACCCCCAGGCAATGGACCGGTACAGGTCAGTGGCCTGTTAGGACCCGAGCCGCACAGCGTGTGCAAGTGAGCATTCCACCTGAGCTCTGCCTCCTGTCAGATCAGCGGTGGCATTAGATTCTCATGGGAGCATGAACCCTATTGTGAACTACACATGTGAGGGATCTAGGTTGCATGCTTCTTATGAGACTCTAATGTCTGATGATCTGAGGTGGAACAGTTTCATCCTGAAACCATCCCTCACCCTACTCCCAATTTGTGGAAAAATGGTCTTCCACAAAACCCGGTCCCTGGTGCCAAAAAGGCTGGAGACTACTGCTCTAGGCATCCGCTACTGTAGCACTTACCACTGTGAATTGTACTAGTTTGTTTTCTTGGCCTTTGCCTACATCAGGTCCTGAGTTTCTTGAGGATATGAACTGAATCACCTTTAATTCCCTGGTTTGGCTGTCATAGGTTAGACAGTGTTTATAGAGAGGATAAATGACACAGGCGAGCTGAAGAACTTTTAAGGGTAATTGACATGCAGTTGGAGATGCCTAGTACAGACATGAATAGAAACATTCTTTTCACAAACGTAATAGTTGTGTACCTGAACATATATAACCTGACTTGGGTAGTGGGAAATCAGTGGGCCAATTTTAGAAGGCAATGGCACCAATACTGTAGCCACAGTTTTTTATTATCTTTAAGAAACAGAACAGAACAAAGCAGTTTCTTTGGCTTGTTATCAATGCTTGTCAATTGAAGTTCAAATTTCTCATCTTGGATTTCAGAGCCTCCCTCAATCTGGTCTCACTTTACCTGGCTAATCTTATATGCCATTGCCTGCCAGTAGGTACTGTCTGTTCCAAATAGGCCAGTTTCTGCACTGTTCTTTGAACAGGCCACACTCATTTTTGGCTTTGGGGCTTTATTCATGCTGTTACTTATACCTGGAATATCTTTCTATGATATCCCTGTTCTCCAACTCTTGTCATCCTTAAAGGGCTAGGTCAGGGTCACCTGGTCCATGAAGTATTATTTAACTATTCTAGATGATCTAAATGATGATCGCCTCTTTTAAAATTCCCGAAGCATGAATTTAAGTACTTTTGTTGTTTTACCTATTCATTACTTGACTGGGTGTAATCTAGCTAGGTACACCAAAGTCCACCTCCTTATGGGGTGATTTTTCTTCTTTTAAAAGCCCCAATCTATAAATGGTGGGAACACAGTTTCCTCTCCTATTTCTGAGGAATTTCAGGGAGCTTGCGTTTCCCTTAATGACACCTTACTTCACTTCCTTGCTTCTGCTCTATTTTAGAAGGTACTTACATTTTGTCTCTTGAGGAGCCTGTCTCTTTGGCATCTGCCTTAATTTCTCTAAAGAATCAGTCACAAGACAAATATTTGTAGTAGAGCTTTATTGAAAATTTGGGAGGAGTGGTAAGGATTATATCCCAGTATAGTGAACAGCTTAAAATGCTTTTATTTAGAAGTTTCGTGGACATTCCCACTCCTGGAAATTTCTTGCCTTTTTTTTTTTCCCTGTTGCCTGCTGCTGGGCCTTTCTTTACCCATTGGATGTCCTTATATCTCTAGCTTCTTACTCCCTGTACTGCCTTACTGCTAACCCTACTACAATTTCCCTGCAAACTTCAAAATTCAGCTTTCCTTTCTTAGATCTGCTCCTTTCAACTCATGCTCTAGAAGGGGCCTGGCTTCA